AGAAAGAGCGAGAGAGAGAGAGAGAGAGAGAGAGAGAGAGAGAGAGAGAGAGAGAGAGAGAGAGAGAGAGAGAGAGAGATCACTCTCTCAGATAAGCATGCATATTTTACCCGAATCCAAAGACCCGAACCGACCCGAAAAAATGATTCGGTAGGATTCAGAACCCAGTCTTTTATCTCATTGGGTCATGTTCTCGAAAACTCGAACCGGACCGTCCCTCGGACACAAACAAGTTATATTGAACCCGGCTTTTGCTAAACCTAGCTAAGTTCTAATTTATGCATGTCTTTCATTAGGATTGAAACTTTTGTGGTGTTTTTGTGTGTTTGTAATGAAACTTGATCACTTTTTATGTTTACTACTTATGTTTTGAAACTGCTAGCAAAAGAATGAACATTTTTTTATTGTAGGCTTTTAAGTTGTTTTAGGATAAATTAACGAGTACATAGGATAAAACAGAACCAATTAGAATCAATTTGGACCTGAAACAGGTAAAACTGAACCAAAAAATAAAATTGATCCGAAATTGGTGAATTTTACCTGAAAATGAACTAAAATATTCTAAAACTGACCTGAAACATTTAGAAATCAATAAATAGATGGTTTAGTGGTTTCTAGATAACTAGATTCGGATTCAACATTATGTGAACCGGCCTCGAACTAACAATTTCAAATTATCCCTCTAAGACTGAAAGGATCTGAACTCGACAAGACCCGATCGAAATCCGATTTGAGGTCCATGCATATTCTCATTAAGAAAATGGCACATTTTTTTTTAAATATTAGTTACCCAATCGTCACAATATATATATATATATATGTATATATATATATATATATATATATATATATATATATATATATATATATATATATATATATATATAAAGGAGAACATACTCCTTTCTCATGAAGCCACCTCAACAGTATCTAAAATTGTGACACATGTCATTTTTTTTAGTTGCAAAATCAAAGTTTAACTAAACTCTTATGTTTCTTTGTTTCGTGACTAGCGCCTAGGGGTGGGACAGATCCAGATATCCGAAAAATTTGAAGTATTGGATCCGGATCCAGATTCGCCGAATCCGTGATTTTAGTATTTGGATTCCAATTTGGGTCTTCTGGTTATCCGTCTAGATATTGTGATATTCGCGGTGTGATATACGTGGCTATCCGGATTCGGATTCGGATCCGTAAAAATAATTAAAGTTTTTTTTTTAAAAATCAAAAATTCTAAAAATAATACATAAACTAAATATTTAAGCATAATTAATGAATATATATATGACATATAATATAATTAATATAAAATTAGAATATTATTAAACTTATTTTATGTATAAATATTAATCTATCAGATATAATTAATAATAAAATAAAATTTTTAATATATTTTTAAAATACAGATCTGTATCCGGACCTAAAAATTAAGATATCTGGATCCGGATTCGATTTGCACAGATCCGAGATTTTACTATCCGGATTTGGATCCGGACATCTCTAGATATCCTAATTTCAGAACGGAACCGGAGCGGATCTCGGATCGAATAAAAGTCCCAGCCCTAGTCAGACGCTGTGGATATTAACTCCTGTGTAGAATAACCACGCTTACAAATCGAGTAGTCTGTCTCATATAAAATTAGTCGGACCTTCAAATTCGGATACCTTGAATTATAAAAAAAAAAGAAATTAACAAAACACATGTCATCTTGTAAATAATTTACCTTTTGTAAATATTAGAATACTAGGTGTTTTCTTGCACTATATGTAATGAAAAAAATTTAAGCTTAAATTATATTTTAATAATAAATTTAATTAATATTATAGATTTTATTATTTTCGTACCAATATTTAAATATAGATTTGATTTAGTTAAAAACTAAATTAAGATAAAATAATTTTTTTATTTAAAATTATATTTAAGAATATATAAATATATATATATATACATATTTAAAATTATAATCTTAAATAGTTTTTATATTGCTTACATATATTGAGTCAATGTGTATAAAATTTGATATAAAACTGTATAATTATCAAAGATATAAACTAAAAGTTATTTACAATTTTTTTTGATATTTAAGAAACTAATGATTTTACGATTAAAAATTTATATTTTTAGAAAATTGTATCAATTTTTGAAAACTTTAGTAATACAAATCGTATAATATAAAAAATAAAATAGAATACTATTTTGAAATTTGTAAAGTTATATTTCAATATATTTATTTTAAAGATGACATAGGAGTTATTATCATATTTTATTTTTTTACCATAAATAAATATCAACATTAAATGTAAAGTATGCGTTATTATCATATTTAAAAAGTTTACTTAAAATCTAAATCAACATTAAATATAATTCTCCATGTCATGTTTTGTCATAAGTCATGTCATCAATTTTAATAATCATGTCATATTTTTTTGTGAAACTGTTTGTAGAACTGACATATGTCAAAATCACTTCACAATAATATATAAGGAAAACTTTGGAAGAGTTATTTCAGTGTTGCGGGTAATAATAATGTTATAATAGCTTCTCATAAGAAACTATTAATTCTTTCTCTTAGTTTTTCATTTTAATTCTTTATTTTATTGTTAAAAATCTCACATTAACGTATTCTTCAAAATTTTCCCAGAAGTTAGTTATTTTATTAATAGAACTGAGCATGCTTTTGATTGTTTCTGGAGCAAAGAAACATTATACAGTGAAACCTCTATAAATTAATAATGTTGGCACTACATCAAAATTCTATTTTTTTTTATTAATTTAGAGAGATATTAATTTATCCATATACTAATTGAACCAAAAATTTAATTTAGGACTATAAAATTATATTTTTTTATAGAGATATTTAGTGTATATTAATTTATCGAGTATTAATTTATAGAGGTTCTACTGGATATCTTATTTTAAAAACACAATATGTTTAGTTCTTGTCAAACTAGTTTAAACTTTATTATATACTACCCACTTGTTTCTAATCATATATGATGCTATAAATGTAATAATACTTTTATAGTTAGCTTTATATATTTATTATTGAGACGTTAACACCTTTCCAACTTCAGCCTTTTCGATTTTGATATATGGCTCTCTGCAACACAACTTTTCCCTCTTTCATTACAGTTCACGCCTCTCTTGTCTCATTATACCCAAATAAATGAATAAAATTAAATATGAAAACACAGAGAGAGAAACCAAACTGAAACGCTCTGAAACAATGGCTACCGCCGCCGCGAAGCGAAGAAGACTCGACGACGGAAAGCAAATCGCCTTAATCGAAGGACTTCCCGACCACATAACGGAGATCTGCCTTTCCCTCGTCTGCCGTCCGACGCTACTCGCCGCCGTCTGTACACGGTGGCGCCGCCTCGTATACTCTCCCGAGTTCCCACCGTTCTCGTCTCTCTACGCGCTTTTCGTAGACTCAAGCTCAAATCCAAACCGTCGAGTTGACTCAGCAATCCGGTTTATGTGTTTCGACCCGGTTTCTTCCAAATGGGACCCGCTTCCTCCTCCTCCACCTGAACTACCTCTTAACCGGATTATCCACCGTCACCCGTCGTATATCTCCTTTAACCTACCGATTCAGTGCGTCTCCGCCGCCGGAAAACTCGTCCTCATCGCCGGGAGTAACCAAGAACTCTCTCCGGCGATCTCTCACCCTCTGATTTTCGATCCAGTCTCTTCTTCATGGACCTCCGGGCCACCAATTAAATCCCCGAGACGGTGGTGCGCGACCGGAGCTTGCGGCGGAGATATCTACATCGCTAGTGGTGTGAGCTCGCAGTTCTCGACAACCGTCGCGAAGTCGATCGAGAAACTCGGTCTCACGGATCATAACCATAACAACTGGGAGAAACTGAGAGAGATGAGAGACTTACGGTTTAGCCGTGAAGCCATTGACGCCGTTGGGTGGAGTAGGAAGCTTTTGATGGTCAACGTAAAAGGCGACGCGGTTAAAGAAGGAGCCATATACGACGTCGTTAAAGACGATTGGGAAGTGATGCCGGAGGAGATGGTGGCAGGATGGAGAGGTCCGGTGGCGGCCATGGAGGAGGAGAAGCTTTACTCAGTTGATGAGAGGAATGGAACAGTGAGAATATACGATGAGGAGAAGAGAGAGTGGGGAGAAGTAAGGGTGGTGGATGGTGGAGAAGAGATGCTTAAAGGAGCTCAGCAAGCTACGGCGGTGGCCGGGAAACTCTGTGTTGTTACCGGTGGGGGAAGAATCGTAGTTGTGGATGTTAGGGCGGAGCCTGCGAAGATTTGGTCCGTGGAGAACCCTCTAGGGCTTGAACCGGTTTCGGTTCACGTATTACCAAGAATGAGCCGACCGGATGTTAGCTGACGTATATTCTTTTTCTTCTATACGAAACTCTTATTTTTTTATTTGATTATTTCTCTTATTTCTGCGGGAAAAAGTGTGATCTTGTCGTTATTTTACCTTCAAGTCAAATGGCTTACTTACCAAATTTCGCTTCTAAGACAAATATTATATAAATATAGTATTTTGAACAGAAAAAAAAAAAGGGTAGTTATAGGTATAGAAATAATGTAGTATTATCACAAATGGTGACGTTAAATTTACTTTCACTCATTATCAATTGCTTTTTGAGTTAAAAAGTATAGGAGCATGAGATTCCTGGTGATCATTCTACCTTTTATTTCATGGAGATCGGTGAAGCATACTAACTTATTGACCAAAAAAGCTACTGGCTCGATGCTAAAACGTGAAGGAGATTCACCAACTTGCAGGATCACAAGAGCAAGCCACGTCCCACCTTATTCAACGAAGAAAGATATACACATACAAGATATAAATAAGAATCACCTATTCATCATTTCATCACAATCACTAAAGCAACATGCAGGCCTTATAGAAGCAATGGAACTGTTTTTCCTTCTTCAGTTTAATGTTAGAGTAAGTGTCTGCCTATGGCATAACCAACATAAACATTGATCAGGACTATGTGAATTATTATATGTATAAATTTCATTATATATTTTCATTGTTTATATATATATTTCCTTTATTGGCTTAGGGCGATAAACAAAATTGGCAATGTTTACTGTTTAAACTTGTCAAGATTATGTTGTGGTTGTTGGGATAATATAGAAAAGCTCACATCTCTATAATATTATTTGAGAAGTCACTTTCTTAGGTGTCGCACTCACGTTAACTCTCACGTTGGTTGATTACTATGATACCCCTAATGAATTAAAAATACAATTAAATATTATTTCCTTTTTAAAAATTTCCAAATAACAATATAAAATAAAAAGGAAACATTTATAAAATTTACAAAACTATTTAAAAACGAAAATATAAGTATATATAATATGGTTTAATAAAAAAAGGAAAGTTCACAAAATAGTAATAATTAATTTAAATATATTTTAAATAACATAAAATATACCTTTGAAGTAATAAAATACTTTATACCTATATCTTCTTAGATAAAAAAAATATCAGTATATAATGAGATTTCATAAAAAAAAAATCACACAAAAATTATTGCTATTAGAAAAAGAAATATTTTAAAAAATAATTTTAAACAATAAAATATATATATTTTCAAAATAATTATTTTTGTATATATCTATCTATTTTATTAGATGAATACATAAAATAATCAACTAACATAAACTGATATATGTTTAACTGAATTTTTTTCATAATTAGTATTATTGAAATTATTTTTTTAGTATATTTATTTGACTATAATATCTTACAATTACAGTAAAAATATAAATTCTATTTTACTTATATAGTATAATTTCTCAAAAACAATCACTTTTTACTGACTATTTTAAGAGATACTAAAAATAAAACTAAAAATAAATTTAATGATAAACATCTTTTGATCAAGTAACTACAAATATTTTAAAATATCATAATACTATATAATTTAACGAGGTAGATATATTAATAGTTAAAATTATTTGTTCTAAGAATAAGGATTCTGATTTACTTAAGTATTTTGATTATGGTTATATTAAGTTTCACAAACATAAAAACAGAAAATAACTACAATTATTTTAAAATACCATAACACTATATAATTTAACGAGGTAGATGTATAATATTTTAATAGTTAAAGTTATCTGTTTTCTTAATAAATCTTTTGATTTTTAATTTTATGTTTTTATGTTTGTGAAACTTAATATAACCATAGTCAAATACTTAAGCAAATCAGAATCCTTATTTTTAAAATTATTTAAAATAAATTTCAGTTTACCATCCAAACAATCTAAAGCAAAAATTTATTTAGAATTTATAAAATATTTTAACTATTGTAAATATTGGTATGTGTTCAAAATCTTCTAAAAATTCATTAGTTACTTATGTATGTAATTTAGAATCAGAAACATTAGTTTTTATTTTTTTTCCTTCTAAGCACAAAAAAATCTTAAGTTATATATAATCTTACTAAATATACTTATATTTCTAAGATAACAACCAGCATAAATGCAAATAAGACAATTAATCAAAAATTTAATATATTTAAAATATAAAAGATAATAGTTGAATTCAGAGAAATATATAGAATCCAATATATCTAAATGATAACTAAATCGACCGTAAAAATAATAAAACAGACTAAATCTAACATATCTAAAATTATATATAGAATTAAAGTAATTAAATATTATAATATAAATTAGACATACAAACTATAACATAATTTAAAAATTAAATTAAATATCAATCAGTTATTATTGAATATTTATTTTATAAATATACATGCCCGTGCATGAGCACGGGAAAATCACCTAGTATTCAATTAGATATAAAGTTTTGCTTTAAGAAATCCTAAAAATAATAAAATACAAAAAATTTAGTGGTTAAACTTTATTGGAAAGAAAAAAAAACGTTACATTAATTAAAATATAACTAAAAATAATAGGTAAACGAGTGCAAATAATTCTCTTTTAAATAGTGAGAGGATAATATGTTGAAACAAAGAACTGAATAGAGGAGGATAACTCAGATTGACATGAAATAAAACCACTGTTTTCTGTGCTCATCGTATTAACTTTGGACCATCTTGTAAACATCTGCCAAGAAACAACAAAGGAAAGTCAGAAGAGTCGGAAAACAAAAGCGGCATTGCTTATCTCTCAGCAAACCAGTATAACACAATTTAATATTCGCTGACTTTAAACAAAGAAAGATTTAGGTAGGGGTTGTGAACAATTAGATTTGTACTTGCAAAATTTAAACAAAACTTTATTATTAATAGTAGTGGCCTATGTATTAAACTTAGTAGAAAGAAAAATCATTTTTGTCTTCTATCATATGAGTTGTGGCTGCCATGGAAACTATTGATATTACTTTGATGAATCATGACGTGGATGCTTTAAAGGAATATATTTTCCAAGTCAGCTTAACTAGCGAGAAGTATCTATAAACATTATGCTAATGACACTTATTTGGAGGAAAATGCGATCCTTCCCGCGGTGATTCTTATCAGTTATCACTTCATTTAACGTTTTGTTGTATGTATAGATTGTTACTTTGTTAGTTTCTGTTCACGGACACTATTTCAGGACGAATACAGGCTGAAAAGCTGCTTCCCCTGCGAGTCCCTGCCTTTACACCAGCCCAAATCCTTATTGTTTTTTACTTGGTTTTAGAAATTTTCGGTCTGGGCTTGAATCAAAATTTGGCTAGGCCCATATATTTTCCTTTCAATGGCCCATTTTGGATAGGCCATATTGTTAAAATGCAGACGTGTTCCCGAACGAAACACCGGACCCCTTAATGATTTTTGCCAGTCGTTTTCTCTCATAAACGGGATGCAAATCTTTTTTTTTTTGTTCAAACATCTAATTTCATTAAGAAAGAAACTTAAGGTGGGCTCAAGGCCCAAAGGACCTGTTTTACCACAGAGTCTGCTGCAGCATTAGAGGTTCTAGGGATAAATTTAAAACATATGGAATTGAAAGCGGTGGTTAGCGAGTAGATATCTCGAAGAATGCTAAAGATCTCCAACTTTAACTCTTCCTTGTTGATGGTTTTGATAAAAACTTGAGAGTCTGAGAAGATGGTGATGGAGTCATACTTGTGAGATAGAGCATAGTTTATGGCACCAAGAACTGCCAAGGCTTCCGCCATGAGAGGCGACCCAACAGAAAGTGATGTCGCTGAAAGTGAAGTTGTAGAGACCATATCATCAATGATCCAACCAACTCCTGCATGTCTCGAGGTTGGGTTCCATGCTGCATCAGTACATATAGAGATCCCATGGAGACTAGGGTTTGGTTCGATTGTGATCAACGGTTTCGCTTTGGGTGGTGAGAGTGGGATCTGTGCAAGCATCCATTCTCTGGCGTCTAAGATCGCTTTAGCGATCGTTTCCTCTGGTGAGAAAGTCCTCTTCTGGAAGATCAATTGATTTCACGAGGTCCACAAGTTCCAGATTATCCACGAGGCTAGAGTTATTGATTCGAGTCCCACCGGTGGTAAAGGCGTGATCTTCCTGGCGATTTCCCATCCCATGAGAGTGTTTGTAATCGTCTCTGGTCTGATCTTGCTGGTTGTTGGTGCTAAATCCCAAACTCGAGCCGCATACGGGCAGGTGAAGAGCAAGTGAGAGACTGTTTCCACCTCCTTACATCGCGAGCAGAGTGGTGATACATGTATATTTCGATTCGCAAATTGTTCTCCCATAGGTAGCACACCATGTAGGGACTTCCAAATAAAAAGCTTAACCTTTTCTGCTGTTTTGATTCTCTAGACATTTGCAAGCAAGTCTATAGATGCATTTGTGGGCAATAGTTGAGCTTGGTCTGCTTCTTCAGCAAGCGTTAGGTACCCGGACCGTGTAGAATAGTCTCCTGTTGGGTTTTTGAGCCATACCAGTTCGTCGGCGTTCCCCATTTTACTTGGTCTCAACCTTAGGATCTTCTCTTTGTGGAAAGGTAAGATTTGTTCGAGTTTCTCTGGATCCCATTCCTGCGTGTTTGCCATTATAAGGTCTGATACTCGAAGATCTTTGAATCTTTCAGGGGCAGGACCAAAAGGTCTTTCCTGTTTGCAATGGGAGAGCCATGGGTCATCCCACACACTTATATCAGTACCCGTTCCAACCATCCATCCAGTTGTTTCAGCAGAAGGTCTCTGCCTATAAGAACACTACGTCAACAGTGTGAAGCTCATGTGGGTGTCTTGCACTTTAAGGGCTCCGAATTGCAGTATTTGCCTAGCAGACAACGTGCAAGCAGACAGTTGGGATTCTTTAGAATGCGCCAGCCTAACTTAGCAAGGAGGGCATCATTTGTCATGGTAAGATCCTTGAAGCCTAATCCTCCTTTCTTTTTTGTTTTAGCCATTTTTTCCCACGAAATCCATGACATTTTCTTTTAATCAGGGTCAGCATCCCATCAGAAACGTGTCATAGTCAACTGAATATTTTGACAAAGGCTTTGTGGGAGCTTGAAGTGTGACATACTGTGTGATGGCATTGCAACAAGAACACTTTTGATCATTATCATCTTCCCTGCTGGTGAGAGGAATTTTGAAGACCAGCTTCTGGCCCGTTGCTGAACTCTGCCCACCACTGATGCAAAGATGTCTTTCTTCTTCCTGCCAAACTCTTCAGGAAGTCTGAGGTATTTTCCCATTCCTCCTTCCTTTTCCATTCCAAGAGTAATCTTCATTTGGCCTCTGGTTGCTTGTCCCGTCTTCTTACAGAAAAAGATCGATGACTTTTGTTTGTTGATCAATTGGCTGATACTGATTCGTATTTGGTTAGTACTTCTTTCAGAGATTCAGCATTCTTCTTTGTTGCCTTGAAGAAAAGCATCGTATCATCAGCGAATAAGAGGTGGTTGATGTTGGGGCTGTTTGTAGCGATGGCAACTCCTTTGAGCATTCCTTCTTCTTGAGCCTTAGCGCACAAGCCAGATAGTACTTCATTGCAAAGAATGAACATGTATGAGGACAAGGGGTCTCCTT